GAAAAACATTTAAAAGATTTAATGAATCCGTACTTAACCGTGTCAACAAAAATACAGTTGCAAAGAGAATACAGCACCGATCGGTACCTAAAAAAAAAAATCTTAGGAATTACACGTTTAAGCTACAAAAATGTCGATTGGTATAAAAAATCTTGCATAGGTGCATTATCATTTCACATGGATCGTCGGTTCCATGAAAAGCTTGTCAAAATTGTTCGCGAGTATTTTGCGATCTACGTTACCGTTCGCAAAATGCTGCCCGACTGAGAAAAGAGAAAAAAAAGGCACGCAAAGTATACACTAGCCACCCGGAAAGGAGAACCAGCAACAACAACAGACGTTGAAGCTCATCTGACGTCACGATTGATCGTAACAATTATGTGGCATTATCCGTACGTTCATTACACATGTATGTGCTTTCGATCATATGCATGCAAGTATACACATGTATGAAATTTCAACGCATGGATATGCGTATCTCATAATCTAAACGATTCCTTGTACCTGTTGATCTTTAACTTTTTTTTACTCTTTACTTTTTTATCTTTTCTGTTCCTCTCTCTTTTATTTATATCGATATTACCAAATGCTCGTTCTGAGCCGATTACCTTCATTTCTCAGTCGACAATACACCCTTAAACGACTTGTTACCTATCTGTAAATAAATTTTCTTACTTTTTCTACAAATATTACGTACAAATATAACAAAAAAGCCACATGATTGTTAGCAATTTTTTTAAAAGTCTAAATACTTTAACCATACTGATTTTTTAATATGAGACTTTGCGTGTCTTATCATTGAGCCACAAGCAATGTAGTATGTGCTCCAAAAAAAAACCTTAGATTTCATTTACAACAGTAGATGTTTTTTGAGTAGATTGTATGTTTTTGCGATTGCATTTAGTTATTGAAGATAATGATGTCAAGGCATAAGAAATTAAATTTAAGCCGACAATGTATCTAATTGGCGCAATCACAGCGAAGAACAGAATAACGTAATGAAGATGGTTATTTGTTCACTAATTCTGTAAATTTTTGTGAACATCATTTTATACATTTTATTTATTGAATTGACCTGTTACTTACGCAATTTATTCATGGTGGCTTTTTATTGGATTAGTTACACTTCATTGACTGTTTACTCGTGTTATATATGCACACGTATGGATTATTCATAAGTTGGTTTTAAAAATTTTTTAAATCAAGGTTGTGCAAATTTTCGTTGACTGAATAAAAAACATAACATACAACATCAGAGTCATGCTTCGGAGTAGAGTCGAATTTCACCAAGATAGTGTATACTCTTTACCTGCATACAGTGAAGCCAATAAAACGTATACAATAAGAACCAAAGACACGAGGGAGGAATCATTTTTTTTTTTTTTTTTTTTTTTCATTCCTCGTAACGAGGTTGACGACAGATGATACATTAACTGTCGGAGGAACGTGTGTAGAGTAGACTGGGGTTTATACTCGGACGAATCCCTCTCAAGGGAAACTTTTTGCTTCGTAGCTTTCTCGTTGTAAGGTTTATCCGCCTCCCTCTTTTTTGATATTGATTCCCATATTGGTTTTAGTTTTATCATTGTCGCTCCATGTATTGAATGTTGTCCCCTCTAGTGGCCACTAATTTTTAGGAGTTAGGAATTTTATGAATTTTTGATCGAATGAAACCTTCGTCACAAGGAAGTACAGGGAAGTTTAAGAGCCGATGGAAAAATCACTACAGCAAAGTGCAATATGTACCTATACAGTACGCTGCGATATCAAGACGCTAGTGGGACCAAAACTGAGGACTCGGACGTTCAATTATGAAAGTAGGTGCCCGTAGAAAGTGAGCGCGAGCAAAACCAGTATCAGATTGTGCAGTGTTACTTACTCGTCTCGATTTTCCGAGAAACTTTTGTTTTTGTTTTTGTTTTTTTTCTTTATTTTGTTTGTTTTTTTCGTTAATGCATATGGCATCTTACGCGAGTAGGTCTCCTCTCTCTTTTTCTTTCCTTCGGTTTGCAAAGGATACGAAAAGAAAACGGAAAGAGTCGGTCGGTCTCCGGGGCCGAGAAACCGGTCGGGTTGGATTTTCTCCCACCTTTTATTGCTCCGGTAGCGGCGAGCCACGTCGACGACGTCTTCGTCGATGACGACCAACGCGGCAACGCGGACGACGAGAGAAAGGACATTAAACGAGGAGGACCCCCAACCCTGCGCCTCCCGAGATCTCGTCTATCGCCTTTACCGTGGAAACAGGATGAAGGTGTACACGCGCGGATTTCGGACCATTTGAGCGTGCCGAGTTTTCTCGGAGCGAGAACTCGATCGTCCGCCAATTTCACTGCTCAGCGAGGGGTTACCGTGGAAACTGGGCAAAGTATACGGAGAAAGGGGAACGCGCGCGCACGGGCATTATCCACTTGATCTCAAATCCGTTTGGTTATTCTTTTGTTTTCCATCGAAGAATCATTTACGAGAGCCACTTGAATTTTCGCCAGCCGTAACGGTTTTACCGCGTGGCTTTCTTTTCAACAAACTACGCAACCGGCGCTTCTCAATTACTCGACCCCTACGAAGTATCCTCGCGAAGTACGTTCGAAGTGAAACTGCGCTCTCATCTTCGAAAGGTATGATCATGCGGTGGAAATAACGGATCGCTGGTAGATCTTGAGATTTCTTTTATGTTTGTAGTTTCGTATTCGAAATTCGTTGAAACCAGTAATCAGTCGAGTATTTAAAAATACGTAAGCAATTGGATGCGAGTGTATCGGGGCCCGAAGGCCATCGTGCGCCCCATCGATGACGCCGAAGGGGAGCGCAGGAGCAGGACTCGTATAGGTACCAATGGGTCTTTACGTACATGGGTGTATGTACGTACATCGGGGGCGTGATGAAGGTGTGCGCATCGCACGAGTGCCGGAGCTCGGCGGAAATCAATAGGCTAATGTGCGAGCGGAGAAAATAAAACAAACCGATGAAGCGGAAAATAAGCTTATACACATCCACGGCGTGTGCTACCGCGCCAGGGGTTTTAATTATATTACCGTCCCAAACTAGAGACATCAAAATAGAGGTATATCGTGTGTATCTGCAGCAGTACTGAAAATCTTCTCTACCTACGTACAAATATCCGCATGTAGTATAATTAAACTATTGAATGATATGTTTATCGTGTGGGGTTGCACGTGCTTTACTTTTGAAAAGTACCCAACCATATCGGAGTCAGTATTTCATATAAAAAGAAAAAAAAAAAAAAAAAAAGTAATTATATTTACGTGATAAAGTTGTGGTTACTATCTAAGCGTGGCTTGGATTGCCGATGAATACAGAAATTAGTGCAAGCTCACGAGAGTATATTATTATATGGACACCTGCTCAAAGATTTATAATTTCATCGGATGTCTTTGGTAGGCGATGAAGGTGTGATTCATCTGGGATTTCACATAATATTCATACGTAATTCTGAAGTAAGAAAATAAGCGAGGAGGTCGGACAAAGCGTAAGAAGGAAATTATGTAAAAAAAATAGAGAAACCAAGGAAGATTGAGATTGTCTGCAGCCTGATGACGCCTAATACGCGTGTTCTCTCGCTCTGTTTACATTATTAACGAATGATAGTAAATGGCTCACCTTCGACCCGGACCGGCGCGACGCCTGAGTATGGAAAATCGTTTCTCTCCTTCTCTCTCTAGCTGGTAACCAAGTTCTTTCTCGATTGAACGATTTTACGAAGTTTTTGTTCCGAAATCACGGAACTTGGGAAGCTGCATCGATTTACCGCTGCTCGCAATGTATTAGATAAAATAAGGAGTACATGTATATACGCGTACAATTAAGTAACAGCGCACAAACATGACTCGGAATAGCAAGATAATCATAGCAAATACAAGACCTTCCAGACATCGCTCTCTCTCTCTCTCTCTTTGCATAACAATTTTTTTTATTTTTTCGTCTCATACATAAATACATGTACAAATGCACAAACTATTTCTTTTTTCTTCGGACTAAAGATGTATAGTTTTCCAATACTTGGTTTGACGTTAGTCAGAATTATAATATTCGCGATCAAAGTTTTGTGTAATTCGCGAGTGATTTGAATACAAAAGCAATACTGTGCGCCCTTATCTCTCTCTTTCTCCGATACTTTCTTGCGATCAAATTGACAGTTCGATGTATGCGAGGCGCGATAATGTATGTGTAATCACCGGTTTCTGGATAAAAATCGGACCTCGATCATTTTTGACATTCATTCCGACGATGGTATCGCGAGGCTCGCCGATTATACGTATACGTTCGGTCAATTTGACGATGGCCAACAAACCGCAAGTGCTCGGCAAACAATGGTTGGGCCGTCCGGAGAACTGAAATTTCGAAAACCCTCGGTTGTACAGTTCTCAGGGGAGGCTACGTCGATACGTTGACCGACAAGCCGATCGAAAGTACAGGGTGGCAAGAAAAAAAAAAAAAAAAAAAAAAAAAAAAAAAAAAAAAAAAGTCAAGAACGAGCTATCGCCCGTCTCCTCGGTTATCACGGACAAACGAGTTATCTCCGCTGCAGCTCCCCGAGTATATAATACACGAGCAAGGATCGACTCGCGATGATAAATAATTAGCGTCTGGCCGACAGCGAGTGGCTCGTAACGTTGCACCTCGACATATTATACCCTCTCGGGCGGTGTGGCGGCGCTCGATATAAAACACATATATATATACGTATGTAACATATCCTCGTGGAGGTGGAAGAAGGTATAGATGTACCAGAGAGGCGACCAGGGGGAGGGAAGAAATAATGGCCTTGAGCGTTGCTAAGGTGTAGCGCTGGCTCGTTCTGCAGCAGCTGAGAAAAGACGGCCGGCCGATGGCAGATATCGAAGTGGGGCTGGGAGGAGGGGAGAAAATATACATATATACGAATTCAGCCGAGTTATCCGGTGCGTCACTGTATCGCATATATACGCGGCGACGGGGACGACGCCGGCGCCGCATTGGTTCGCTCTTCTGCAACTCTCTCGTCTCGGTCTCAGTTTCCCTTGCACTTACGCACTTGCTGGTTATAATACTTACTCTCTCGCTCCCTCTCTCTGTCGCTTCGCTCCGTGTATACTCCCGCGAAAGTCGAAGCGCAAGATCGAAGACCATTTTTGCATTAACCAAGGTGCCTTGCGTTTTGGGCTCGGACGAAACGTCACGGGGCCCACGGCAAAAAAAAAAAAAAAAAAAAAAAAAAAAGACTGATTTATTAGTTATACCGTTGTGTCCTTGTTATTGCTACCCATAGGATTTTAGCGGTTGCGTATATACGTTGTACAGGCACACCAGGAGGCCGGAGAGGATGGAAAGTGCCGTTTATTGGACTACCGATTTTTGTTGTAATTGTCGTTGTTTTTGGTTTTGTTGCGCTCGGAGGCAAGGGTAATGGTCACCGAGGCAATTGGTGCGCGTACGTACGAATGCATGTTGTCGAAACGAGTGGAACGGCAGAGGCATCGGATGAAGCAGCAGTGCGACGCAACACGCACGCATTGTACAGTGGCGAGGGCAGTGCAGTAGCATATTATATCGTACCCCATACGCGTTTCTAGATCGGGATCGATACAACTGAATGGCACCTCATTTATGGAAGAAGAGTGAACCTAAGCGGGCAAATTGTTCGATTGCGTTTTACGAGGGGATCGAAGATACCAGAGACATGCAATTATTGCAGCGCTGCTCCCGGAGCAGCTACATCGGGGATTATTATCGAAACGGTAATGTAAATCTGTGGGTGTCACACATTTTTACATCAAAAGTTTTTATGGAAAACGAAAAAAAAAAAAGTTATCTCTCTTTGTGCTTCTTTTCATTCATGTATGTTTTTCTCTCTTCTTACTCTCTCGCCCCTTTTTTATTGTGTATACACCCTCGGTCGGTCATCGCTGGCCAATAGCAGTCGACGATTGATTGAAGTCTAATATAGATACATGGGTACAGTTTCTCATGTCCTGTTGCCTCAAGGTTAAACAATTGTTAATAACACATGTGTACCGATAACTGTATCCTGCTCTCATGCAATGACAATACATCATCGAATTTTGTGTAATCCAAATAAATCGTACTGTCATCTTCTATTCGTGTTATGATTTTCGTAAGGTTGAATACGTAATTTGTACATATATATTGTTATTCTACATACGATCATGTTTTAATGTTATATGTCTACTTTCTCGTAAAACTTACTTAATTAATGTATATTATATTGTACAATTATCGTGTTGAAAAATGGCTCTTTTCGTGAAACTGACGATAAACTACTGCAGATTCTTTAATTTTGTCTAGGGTAATGATTCTGAGAAAATCAACCTCTTGTCTACTAGTCATTTGTAAATAAGCATATACATACTAGTCAATATTTACAGATTGTTATTTTTTCTTATGTGAATTGTTTGTTTAAAACTTGTAATAAAAGTAAAAAGTATTTATGTAACAAATACCTGTGTTAAAAATCTACGTTTTTAACAAAAATTGTTTTTTGCTCAATAATTTACTCCATGTTCTATCAAAGTTTAACATGTTTTCTACTGAGTTATAAACTTCAATTAATAATATGTCAAGTTTTATATGAATTTAAGTATGTTACATTAAATGTGATAAATAAAAATCTTTCAAAAGATGATTATTTACTTATTATAAATTTAAAAAAACAAACCACCATTCCATTAAAATACAATCGAAATAAATTTGTCTTGTTTTCATATTAAATATGCCACTGTGACGTTTTAAAAGATCAAAATAAAACTATTTTCGCGAAAAAAAGAGTGCCTTAATTAAATTTCATTTTGATAATTTATTTACAATAATGTGCTTGACTAATTTTGAACATCAGTNAACGAAGCTTTTACATATATAGTCTAGGGGTATATATATACATATCGGCTTATCTGTACAAAAAGTCGCGAGATGTATAACTGACGGCCCGTGTCATAGGTTACCCGCTCAATGCACAATTGCAGATATACCCCACTCGGCTTATCGTGCCGTATGGCGTTTAAATTAATGTAATCGATCGTTCTCTCACATCATACAGTTTGTCCACTGTCTCTGTTGATGGATCCGATTTTGCATCAAAAAAAAAAAAAAAAAAAAAAACATCACAATAAGCGTATATACACTTAAACCTAAAATTCACCAAATTACACTGGTTTTTCTAATGTGATTAGGTCATTCCCCTCGCGCCGTAATTTTCCTTGCCAATATATATACGTGGATAATACGTGCGTGTGCGCGTTTGTTTGATTTCACGAGTTTTGTACTAATCTAGGAAAAAACTTGAGAACTTCATTTATTTTCTATTATCACCCTAACGGTAGGGCCTTTAATGTATTTATAATATACATGTAACCATTTTAAAGTTACGAATATTCACGACAAAGAATAGTTTGGCATGTTGGTTGACAAGTGTGATAAAAGACACGGGTGAACGATGAAAGGAATATCCTCGGTGTTGCAGACTGTCTTCGTCGATTGGACTGCACGTCGAGTCGGCAGAATACGTTATGTCGAGTAAACAGCTCAAAAACTCTCATTGCCATCCAGTACTTTGAAGGATGTGTAATGTATAAAATTTTTATACCAATTAAAAATTAAACAAGTTGATTTCTAAACGATATTTTTGACAATGCTGATTAACGTTGATTTAACAAATTTTTACAAAAGTTTTTTATCGTATATTTTATTATAACTAATTAACGAACCGACACTCGAATCCATTAAATGTGTAGCTGAATTAAAATAAATAAGAAGATAAATAAACTGTCATGTTATTAGAGGCGACCAATATGCTAATATATTCATGCGTAAGAAAAATCACAAACGTACGAGTATACTCTAGTACTTATCTGACTGTGTCAAAGATCGAGATACTTACAGATTCCAGTATGTTTTTTTTTTTTTTTTTTTTTTTTTTTTTNTTTTTTTTTTTTTTTTTTTTTTTTTTTTTTTTTTTTTTTTTTTTTTTTTCATTTTGAAATGACGCGTACTCGCACATTTGTTGTTGTGATAAAGCAGACTATCTTGTTTACACAATTTGCCGACGCTTTTTGCTTCACTTTATACCTCCGCGAGATACGCGGGCTCCAATTTGCCTTGAAAATTGTGTAAAATTGAAAAGAAGTAGTCTGCGCTCTTTATAAGTCATAATGGGTACGTGTGATCCTCCCTCTCACATTGAGCAGCGTGTTTAAAAATTCTAGACAAATTTTCAAAGCGTCCAAATGTTATACATTTATTTAGGCAGTAAAGGAAACCTTACAATAAAAAAAAAACATACAGTTATATTTGAGAAAGCTGTAGCGTAGAGATCTTTGATAAAGTTTAATTTTGTTGTTAATTTCTTTATTGCACTTTGTTGGACAAATCTTTATCAAAACTTTAAAAAAATTTTTTTTTTTTTTCATGAATTTTCACTAAATTTATATCGTACATTTATTACTTAATACCGTGCCTTAAATAAGAGAGCTTGGGAGCAAACCTCTTTTTATCATCTTTGCAAAGTAATGAAAGATAATCAGATGCAGGTGTTACTTTTCTTTAGAATGAACTTCATCATTGAAATGTACGACTGATTTTTATTCATGTCATTAAGACGTGTGTTGTGCGATTAACTGTTTCACAATCAAAGATGAAACAGACATCTAAATTAGAATTGAATTTTTTTTTTTTTTTTTTTTAAATTAATTTTTTTTGTTGCTCTATTTTTCGAAAATAGTTCTTACATTATGAAAAAACTGTGAAATATTTGAGATGCAAGTCCAACACGAAATTAAAATTCAATGAAAACTATTTATTGTTATTAATTTACATGCAATTACAACATAAACATCGAATATTTGTTAAAGTGTAGAAAATTTTGAATATTTAGTAACTTGCCGAGTATCTGTTTGAGGCCTTTCATTTATTGATTGCAAAGATACTGGCGAATTTTCTTATCTTTTACGTCTGAATTAAAACTAAATAAACACCACAGAAAGATAAAGTATGTTTGTTTTTTTTTTTTTTACATATATATCTACTCATGGGCTTTGGTGAAAGCATAATACAAATTCAATCCAGTTTATTTTTTCAAGAATATTTTAAAGTTATTTGGGTACACACATATCCTCGTGGGTATAGTCAGTTTAATCCTTAAACAATTTAAAAACGTGAGAGTAAAAAAAAAATCTATTTTTACAATGAAAAGTATTTTAAATGTCGACAGCACCACTGCATTTGTTAAAAACTCGGCTGATGTTTGATTTAAACGTACCGATATGAAGTAGTCAAATACAATTTTCCTGCTTGCAACTAGCGAGTATTAAAAAATATCTGCTGGTACATTTTATACTTTAATTCACAAAAACATGACGAATCATTCCTAAAACTCGATACTGGGTGGCATATACTTGCTCGAGCGCACACAATTTCAGGCTATCCTTGTTTTTCATTGTTATGACTGTTTATTCGTTGTGTTATCGACGTTTCATAAATTCTTTCTCCAAGCATTGGTACATCCGTCGCGCGTAAACACATTAGAACCGTATTTTAGAGCGTCCGTGACAATCCGTACAATGCGCCAGTAAAACTTCTCGAGCGAATGCACAATTCGGGTCAGAGCGAAAGATTGAGAGATTCGGTGAGAATGAATTATTTTTTTCAAAAACCCCGTCAAGTGTGCGGTTGCAAATATTTTGCCATTGGTCATGACTAACATGGGAGGAAAAAAATAATCCACGTAATAATATCGGAACTCGATAGCTGGAACATATAGATTGTACACTCCTCGTTTGCATAATGTTAAATCCATCAATTTTTTTTTCTTTTTTTTTTTTTTTTTTTTTTGATGTTCCGACCCAGTTACACGCTAGTAACTTTATGATATTTTACCCATATTTCAAAGCTAGTAAATCAACCCGTAATTTTAAACGTGGTATCAAAAGTTTGTGCAAAAATAGTTTATTCAGTTAACAAAAACGAAAAAACAAAAAAAATGCAGAGCATCATACACGGGCAGTATGGAGTTTTCGCAAAAGTAACGCACTCGCCGGCACATTGAACGCGAAGGCGCCTACACGAACTACTTAAAAAGTAAGCTCGTGAGATACATTTTCATCATGTGTAGTTATAACGGACGCGGGCAGATAGTTTTCCGCCGCGATGCGCCTCGATAAACCCCTCGCGTGCATTATGCAAGGCAAACACAGAGAGAGAAATGAATGACGACGAGAGAGCGCACTCTCGATGGCTACCGTGCGCGAGGGAATGGACGAATGCAATTGCACAGAGAGAGAGAGAGAGATGGCTCGCTAGAGCGTGCACACACATATACATATACCGGTCATTGACATCGCGCCGTAATTTTCCTTGCCAATATATATACGTGGATAATACGTGCGTGTGCGCGTTTGTTTGTGCAGTATAGATAAACGTAACTAGCATATACGTACATACCTATATACGTGTCTATTACGTCTCTCTCTGTAACTTTTTGCCCCGACGTCCTTCTGGGGGAGGGTGTAGTGTGCGGCTGCCTCTCGTCCTATGTGTGGGCAACCCTCAACCCCCTTTCGTCGCAATTATTTCAAGCGCAGTGGTCGTTTGCTCGCCCCCTTTCTATTGATAGATCTCGCTTTGAAGGTGATCGAACGCCGATTCCCTTTACCACCACCCCCCATCCCCCGTACTTTCCTACTTTTCTCCACGACTATACATTGTTTCTTTTTCCATATTTTTTTTTTTCTTTTTTAATCTCTCCCTCCCTCGAGCATGCACACGTTTGCTTGGCGCTCTCGATCTCTGTACTCCTCTTATTTCGAACCAACTATTGGCTTTGATTGACGGGCAATGATTGCTCCCCCTTGTCCGACCCTCCTTTCCTTTTCCGATGCTCTCTCTCTCGAGTCGTTTGGTACGTGCATCAGTTTGTACATTGTCTTCGCGTGGACGCGCCCGAGCATATTGTAGCCGGCGCGCACAACTTTTTGCTCTCTCATTTTTCGGTATGCGCGCGGTATACGCTTTTTTGATTGACCGCCTTTTTATATACTTAACGTTATCTTGTCCCCACAATTTTGGCCCCGATTTCTCAAGGGTTTTTTGGCCTAGTTCACACAGCCCCTCGTGAATTCACCGGCTCGTGTGTTCGTTTGTGGTGTGTTGATCGAACGGTACGGCTTGAAATCGTATACGAACGAAGGGATGAAAAACGAAAAGCAACAAAATCTTTTAATTGTATATGCATATATAGCTATGTAGTTATGTATCCGTGGGTGTACCTAAAAAAGAAGGGCCCGCTGTTTTCGTTTGGATATGTCGTGCCACTTTCCACCACTTTTATGATTTTCGGTTAAATTCCATTTGGTATTTTCGTTGGCATAACAAATAAGAGCCCGCCTCCCCCCCCTTTTTAGTTTCATTAGCTCCGATTTACTCGTCATCACCACCGCTGCGCTCTTATTCCCCCCCCCCCTCACTCACTCTCTGCTCGCGCCATGCGAAAAACGCGCAACGCGCCTTGAGTTTGTTTGTTTATTTATTTCTCCCGCGATTCTACTCGTGCGCCTATACTTAAACTTTGCCACAGCGATTCGAGCCGAATAATTCCGAGTGGTCGATGAAAGAAAGAAAGAAAAGAAAGAAACCGATCGAGCTTTTAATTAACGCCGGTGGCAAAAATGCGTGACGCAAATGCATTGTTTGGACTCGGTGAATTACGGCGAGTTCAAGGGTTTCGCTCGGCCGGGGAAACCTTATGCGCGTTGGCAATTAAATAATACGTTGTAGGCCCGGGACGTTTCGGTTCGGCGAGTCAATCACGACCCGGATTTTATTTATTCGCCAGCTGATGGGTGTACGGGCGCGTTGTAAAATCTCACGGTTATCCGTGGGGTCTATTTTCAAGCTGGAAAAGGTCGCTGATCCCTACAGGAGAGAGTTTTTGGGGGTACTTTGAGAACGAGGCTAAATCAAGTATAATATAGTCTCGGAGAACGGACTGCAAAAATCAAAGCTTTAGTTGTGCTGACAAAGTGGCGGAAAAAAAAAAAAGAACGTAACAGGAGGTACTCGAGTTGTCCCTCAAAATGGTCTGGGTAATAAAGTTTTATCGGTCCATCGACGTGACTTAAAGGGTTTGTCCTTAGCGCGACGCTTACGCGTCTCCTGCCTTCAAATCGATACGATATGGTTATTGGCACGACCGACCAGACAAAACTCTAACGTCGCAAAACGTTACATGTGAAAAAAAACGTCATTTTCTTTGGATAAAAAAGTTTTACATTTTTTTTCGTTCAGAGCGCAGTAATTTTGTTCCCCTTGCTAAAGACTTAATTTCTCATCCTGATTACTTGCCAATTTTGAGTCCACGAATCATTAAAAAAAAAAAACACACTTGGACCATTTTTTACCCTTCAACGTAAAGTAAACGTTCCCTCGAAAGAGAGCTCCAACTTGGAGTTTAAAAAAAAGCGCTGCCGCGAGAAGAGGGGGGGGGAGCCGGTAAGACGGAAAAAAGAAAGAGAAAAATCATCGAGGGGGGGGGGGTGGCAATGAAGCGAGCGAACGAGCGGACGCAATACCCGGTGATTCGCAATTTCGAAAAGACCGTAGCGCAACAACTGGTTTTCGGAGCTGTACGCCGCGTTGACCTCCCCGTGGACCTTGAACCTCGAGACGTCGGAAGCGCGTGCGAGAGGACGGACTATAGGTCCCTTTGCCTGTGTGTTATTGTTGTTGTTATTGTTGTTGTTGTTTTTGTCCCCTTCAAGGGCGACTCTTTGGTTTTTGCGATGCGCGCAGTAGGTCCGCAACATAAATAGCAACGATGACGAATCTGAAATTTCGCGGCGTATATACAAATGGCAGGCAACTCTCCCGCCCCTTGAATTTTAACGATGTGACCACATATACCTACCTATTTTATGCACGATAAATTTATTTCTCGATCCTTTCTTTTTCCCAAAATCCACTGTTTTACATTATAGGTCCACCTCGAGGTTGAGTACCGCATACATATATGTCATACGTGTTTCACCAAACCATCTCTCATGCATACACGTTACAACGAAGCTTTTACATATATAGTCTAGGGGTATATATATACATATCGGCTTATCTGTACAAAAAGTCGCGAGATGTATAACTGACGGCCCGTGTCATAGGTTACCCGCTCAATGCACAATTGCAGATATACCCCACTCGGCTTATCGTGCCGTATGGCGTTTAAATTAATGTAATCGATCGTTCTCTCACATCATACAGTTTGTCCACTGTCTCTGTTGATGGATCCGATTTTGCATCAAAAAAAAAAAAAAAAAAAAAACATCACAATAAGCGTATATACACTTAAACCTAAAATTCACCAAATTACACTGGTTTTGCTAATGTGATTAATTCGTGGCCCGCGGATGATCTACCCCCATCCCCCCTCTTTAATGCGTCGCGAACAACCGTGGCGTCATTGACTCATCCAGATATAAGTAATATTATTTATCGGAAATAAATGTTTTTGCACGTATATGCACAATGTACTTACGTAAAAATCGTAAATAACATCTACCGGTTTTTATCGTTACTCGCGTATGCACACATCATTCATCACAACGTTCAATGCTGTATATGTATTTATAAATATATAATTATGTAGGTGAGATATATGATGATGTATTGTAATTGAGAATAATTTTTCTCCGTTTGTTCGGCGTGGGTGTGTGTATAGGTACAAACACGAGCACATCGGTATCGACAACGACGGGATCTGCGGCAGCCAGAGGCATCGGCCCGCCGTCATCGGTGACCGGTCCGAGCAGACCCAAGCAGCCGACCAACGGCTCGATTCGCCAGGCCAATCTAGCACCGAGCACCACCCGGGCGAGGGTGGCTCACCATCACTACCAACACAGCCAACAGCAACAGCAGCAAAACCAACAAAATAAACCATCGGCTCAGCAACGGGGGAGCGCCTCGGCGAGGGCACTGCTGAGTAAAGGAGGCCCCGGTGAGTCGCTGAGGCGCTCGGATGACCTGGCCGGGCAAAGATCGGCTTCTGGCAGCGCTCAGGACCTCTGCGACAACTCCAACGACTCGGGGCTCGGGTTCGAGGAGCGCCAGCAGCAGCTCAGCAAGGCCACCGTAAGGCCCGATTTATTCTTTTCCTCTTATATATATATACTTACTTCTTTCCTCCCCCCCCCCCCCAAGAACAATCCATATATGCATGCATGGATGAGTCCCGATTGCATATCTGTAAGTGTATTTTAGCGAGTCTTGTCCGTAAAGCTTTCTTGCTGGTTTTCCTTTGGCAATCAAGTCCAGGAGACGAGGTGTTGTATATTTACACGGCAGTGTTACGATGGTTCACAATTATGTGTGTGCAAGAGACAAGCGCAATGCAACCGGTTATCTGGCTCGCGCTGCCCACAAAAGGAAGAAAAACACGTTTCGAGTGTTTACGCGGCGTTTTGATAACTCGGGCGGTATCTCGGTGCACTCGGCGAATCTTCCTCACCGCCAGGGCAGATTTGTCAACTAATAAGTACGAGATGAAAAATTGTATCGAATCACGTATGGACAGAGGCGGTGTCGTGACATAACGCAAAGCAAACGAGGCTCATTATCGTGGCAAAACGGTAGTTGAACCCGCGTCGCCTGCATCACTTGTCTCATATTATTGATGGTACAGCGTTTCTCCGGAGCTCCAATAATGTACATAGTAGTCGCGCTGCGCGAACAAATGATTTCCCTTCCAATCCGAAGCAATTGCTTCCTCGGCTCTCTCGCAAACACGCGAGACGCGCGCGTCCGTGCATGCACACGTGATCATCTCGGTTTGTCTCCCCCCCCCTTTTTTTTTTTTTTTTTTCTTATCTCTTCTCTCCTCGTTTCGTCATTCGATCTCTCTCGACGCGCAACTTTTCTCTCTCTCTCCTTCGGCTCGTATCATGTTTGCGATCGATACCGATCGGTGGCAGAGTCATTGGACGACTCTCGTCACACGAATGACGTCCAAACGAAAATCTCACAAATTATTACACAGATTGCGCATATTGTCCAAAAGAGCCAAACTCGTTTGGTGCATGTTTATTTATTTTTCTCTTGTAAATACACGTACCGCGATGTCCACTCGCTTGGCCGTCTCCGGTGGGCACCCATGTGCTCCGGGGCAAACAGGTTTCCACGAAAAATCTCATGACTATAACGACGCGAGATCGGCCAAAAAAAAGAAAAAAAAAAAAAAAAAAACCAGGAGGGAACAACAATACGTCGAGATTCATGTCCAATGTGTCTTGCAGGCGTGGAGCGGATCCCCGTCGTCGGTCGGGGGCGAGGAGGACACCAAGCGCCGTAAGATGGACATGAAGCTCGAGTCCGAGGACGCGAACTTTGCCTTCCCTGACCTCGTGCAGGGCGGCCAGTCGAACGAGATAAAGTCGAGGGCCAACGGCATAGTGACCGGCGGCGGCCGGGCGAACGCCGCGGGTGGAGGAGTCAACGGCTCCGTTGGCCGCGTCATCGGCCCGGCCGGTGGCGTCCACAGGCCGAGACCCGGACTCGGGACCCTCTCCAAGAGATCACTGGCCTCCGGGCACCAAGGCCCCGTCACGCTCAACACCCAACTATGTAAGTATACATATACATACGCATTAACCGTGTGCATCCGGCTCGCGTAATTTCACGCCTCCCCGCGCCGATTTTCCCTTGCAGCCAACGTATCGCGCAATGGAAAAGTCCAGCTGCAGATAATATGCCAGCCGGAGCAGCAGCACAGGGCCCGCTATCAGACCGAGGGCTCGCGGGGCGCCGTCAAGGACCGCACGGGCAACGGCTTCCCGATCGTCCGGCTCGTCGGCTACGACAAACCCGTCACCCTACAGGTACAGGCTCATTTGCTCGGTTGTCACGAGAAGGAGAGCGAGAGAGAGAGAGAGGAGATTTTAACGGAGCTGGTTGTGGATAGGTTTTCATAGGGACGGATCTCGGCCGAGTGGTGCCTCACATGTTTTACCAGGCGTGCCGGGTGAGCGGGAAAAACTCGACGCCGTGCACCGAGCGCAAGGTGGACGGGACCATTGTCATCGAGGTCGACATGGACCCCCTCAAGGACATGCTCGTCACGTGCGACTGCGTCGGGATACTCAAGGAGCGCAACGTCGACGTCGAGCACCGTTTTCCCCACGAGGCGGGCATACTCCAGGGAAGGAGCAAAAAAAAATCGACCCGTTGTCGCATGGTCTTTCGCGCTAGCATCACCCACGACGACGGCGCCACCGAGACCCTCCAGATCTGCTCGCAGCCCATCGTTTGCAGTCAGTAGACCCCTCGATTCGTATTACCATCCACCATATACGTATACATACATCTTCGATGCGTGCCATTGCAGCCCAGCCCCCGGGTATCCCGGAGATCTGCAAAAAGTCGCTGACCTCGTGCCCGTGCACGGGCGGCCTCGAGCTCTTCATCCTGGGCAAAAACTTTCTCAAGGACACGCGCGTGGTCTTCCAACTGGACGGGGACGAGCTGGCCAACTCGCTCGAGCCCCACTGGGAGTGCACCGTCGTCCCCGACAAGGAGTTCCTGCAGCAGACCCACCTCGTGTGCGTCGTGCCCCCCTACAGGCGGCAGGACCTCGATCCCGCGGAGACCATCGGCATCAAGCTGTACGCGATATCGTCCGGCAAGACCAGCGAGCCCCACGCCTTCGTCTACACGGCGGCCTCGGCTCCGCCTGCCCCCTCCCTAGGCAAGCTCGACGGCGCCACTGTCAGCTTGGTCACGACCAACAGCAACGACGCCATCCTCGCGCCAAAACTGCCCCCCAAGCCTCTAGTCGTGCCCAATCAAGTCGCGACCGCCGGTAAATAATCCACCGCACGTATAAACAATGGGTTAAAAAATATATACAGTAATTAAAAATAAAACGACTTGCAGACTTGTTGCCGGTGAGCGTGGGATCCACCAATTTTCTCGGTGCCATTCAATCCACAACGGTGGCGGCGGCAAACACGGTAGCTTCGGAAGTGCTGAAGAACGAGCCAAGCCCGCCCCCGGTGAGCGTCCCGACCCCGGTGACGCCGGTCATGCTGTGGAGCTCGCAGCAGCCGACCGGCCCACCTGGCCCCGTCGACGTCATGATGCCCCCGCCCAACAGCATTGTGGCCGGTTCGCTCATGGGCCGCAGGCCCTCGGCGGGCATACAGCTCATCATGCCCGACAACCTCAAGACCGAGGTGCTGGACGAGAACAGCGAGAGCAGCCTCATGGGCGAGAACAGCTTGCCGGGCATGCCGAACGGGCCCACGGCTACGAGCTCGGGCGGCCTCGAGCACCTCGTCAGCGAGAACTCGAGGGACGCCTCGCAAGCGGGTCTCCTGCGGAGCACCGTAACGACGAACGGCTCGCCGGTCCAGGACGGCCTTCTTGGCGTCGTGGACCTCATGCGCGGTCAGCACCCCATGGCCCTCGTGCCCCAACAATCGGCCTTTGCCGGCCTGCAGGAAGCATCACAGGTGACATTTATTTCTTTTTCACTTGACATCTACAATACATGTTTAGACGTAGTTGATAGTGCATGCGACGAGAGGTAGAGAGAGAGGGAGGGAGTCTTCTCATTTGTCTGCCATCTGCTTTCAAAGTTACTTGTAACGCCTTCCAAAATAAGCCGCGGGTCGAGTGAAAATCATACTGTGAGCACAGGTGAAGGTGCTGAGTCCGCATCGCATAAACAAGGACAACGGTCCGATATTGGGGAGCGACGCGAGCCTAACTAACAGCATGCAGAACACGGGGGTGGTGGATTTGCGCATGAAGCACCACCAGTCCGAGTTCAACGGTATCGGGAACGGCAGCCTCGGTAGTTTCGCCATCACTCCCGCCGACCAGCCGCTGCCCGCCCAGACTGGCCAGAGCATTGAAAAGTACCTCAATCAAATCGAATCGACGCCCAAAAAGCCCGAGGTCAGTATCGCCCGCCTCTTTCTTTTCTTTTCTCTATCCTTCCAAAGAGCCCGTGCGTGTTGGCTCAACTGGTTTTGTCGCTGTTGATGATGCCCCGGAGCATACTCGTAATAACGGAAACAATATTCTCTCTGTTGCAGGAAGCTAACTTTGTCCGAGCCTCCATAATAGCGACGGGCCAGCAGCAGCAGCAGCAGCAGCAGCAACAACAGCCAACGAGTCTGCTGGCGTCCGCGTCGGCCGCGGTGCCCCTGGACAACCTCGTCGACAATCACCAGATCGTATCGCCTCTCGGAGCCGCCAACTCGAGTCCGAATACGATGATCAGCCAAGTGACGTCGGACACCATCGTCAGTCCACAACAGGCGACGTCGAGTCCCGCTCTGCCTGTGAAAAACATGCTGCTGGAGGCTCTCATGCCCACGACCAGCATATCCCCGCTGAGGCAAGACGCCGATCCACACTGATTACATCCACAAATGAAATGTGAAATTTAAACTTGCGTGTTGTTGCGTGTGTGTTTACAGTGTCGAGAGCAATTCCAGCGTGGTGGCCAACGTTTCGGCGGTCCAAGTGCAAGATCCGTCCCAGGACAATAGCTTGCTGAAGTCGATAAACACGGCACTGCTGCCCAGCATGCAGGACTCGTCTGTCACGGCAGTCGGTGCCGCTGCGACGAGCGTCAACCCCAACGTGAGCGTCACCTCGCACAATACCCTGCAAGTCACCGCCAACGAGGTCATACCCAGCGCGGTGGCCACCATGGCTCTGGTACAGGATACAGTGTCCATCCAGCAGCAGGTCCAACAGGTCGAGCAAGTCGTGGCGCAGGCCGCGCAGCAAGTCGAACAGGTCCGCCAAACTTGATTTTCAACGGCTGAAAAGATTATTATTATTATTATTATCATTTATAGTTCTTGACGATTGATGACAAACATTGTGATTATACAACAGGTGGTGGCTCAAGCTCAGCAGCAAGCGGTTCAGGCGGTGCAGCAGGCGCAGCAGCAGGTGGTCCACCAAGTGGTGGCGCACGCCCAGGCCGTGCAGATGGCGGTGAAGAACGCCCAGACAGTGGCGCCAACCGAGCCCGAGGTCCAGCAGGTCATGCAGCAGGTGACCCACGAGGTCGTCCAACAAGCCGTGCAACAGGCGACCCACGAGGTGGTCCAGCAGGTCCAGGCGGTCCAGCAGGCCGTCCAACAGGCCCAGGCGGCTCAGGCCATGCAACAAGCCGTCCAGCAGGACATCAGCTCCATGCTCAATCAACCCGCGGGTTTTGTCGCCGAGGCGAGCTCGGCTCTGGCTAGCGGTGCGTCCCAAGAGCCCAGCCAACAACGGCTCACCAACGAGGCCGAGATGGCCATCAACAGCGTCATAACCAACGCCACCCAGGACATCATCAACAACACAAAGCCCATCACTACCACGACCGCTCACGCCATTATTGCCACCAAAAACATACTCAACAGCGTCGCCACGGAGGTACTTACTTTTTCTTTTTAAAAAAATGCTTGAAAACTGGTGTATGCAAAAAAAAAAAAAAAAAAAAAAAAAAAAAGAACAAGCAGTTTTTATGAGTGAAACCGTGCTTTTGCAAAATTTTCAGAGCGCCAAGCTGATGAACAGCGCGATGGAGGGAATCCTGCCAAAGTCGCCGACCGCCTCGCAGACGATAGTCGAGCAGGTGGCGTGCAAGTCGCCGACGATAGGCTCGATGCAGATGCAGGCGGCGCCGAACGACCGGGCCGCGCTGGTCGGCCAGCAACCGGTGCCGATGCAACAGCAGCCGACGGAACCCCAGCCTCAGGTTGTGCCGCAGATCAACGCCGTTGTCAGGAGGGCGGATGGAAATCCCAACGGTATGATTTCCCAGGAGCTCATGACGGACCACGACCTGCTCAACTACTTAAACTCGGGCTGTTTCGATCCACAGAGTGGATTCCTCATTTAGTCTGCGAAACGTTTGTTTATACATTTACTGTTTTCTTTCCCCCCCCCCTTTCTTTTGGAGCAAGAGCTCATCCAGACCTGATGAGTGTTCTGCTATCAACGGTTACTGCTTTTTTCTTTTTGTGTAGATTTTTCTCATCGTTATTATTATTATCATTATGATGATGATTATTACTGTTGCGTTTACTATGGTTATTATTTTTATTTTTACCATCGTCATCTTGATTATTATTATTATTATTATTATTATTAATAGTTATCACCAGGTTAAAAAAAGGTACAGAAACGAGACTCAGTGTTTGTTTTATTGGAACAAGGAAACAGAGATTCACTACGAGAGATCGAATCATTCATCGATTTAACGCTATGTTGAAAAATTATTTGTGATCCATGATTATAAAAATTGTCATCTCGGTGAACTGGATGTAAACACGGTTTTTGAAAAAGATACTTCATTTGTGCAAATTTACCAAACTAATGACTTTTTGTACTATGTAATTTATATATATATTTTTTACGCTAAGTAAATAAATGCCTTAAAAATTGAATGAAATACTGTAAAGCATTCGGTCAAGAATATATTTATTAATTTTATAAAG